AGTGTAGAACCTTCGGGCAGACTACTTAAATTAAACAATAACTAAAGTTGTACAAGTGGCTAGTTGTACACTCTTTCTATGTTTGCCTCCTGTGGTTGTAATGCAACCATAAGCTGAATGTACTATCAATAAAATCCTGGGTCACAAGTACTCACCTTAATATTTAAAAAAAAAAAAAAAATATATATATATATATATATATAATAAAATAAATATATAATAAATATATAATCAGGGGTATGACGACTTAGTGAAGTGGTCAGGTTGTCAACCTCCCAAGTAGTAGATTGGGTGTTCAAATTCCATCGACAGCAAAAATTTGGATAATCACCTATGTAGGGTATAGCATAGGCCAGGCTAACCTGGAAATTCTTGAGCCGGGCCAGGCTTGGGCCTAGTTTGGACTCATATATTTGAGCCCATTAACTTGTGGGCCGAGCTTGGGTTTGGCTTACAAAAATATTAGGCTGGGTTTGGGCTTTGTAAGAATACCCAATAGGTCAAATAGGCTGCTATCAATAGAAATCAAACAGATTGGCATTTTAAAAAAAATCAATTTCTTAACTTTCACAACTTATATCTTGATAAATATTGGTACTATCTTAATATTTGAAAGAAAGCTTATATCTTAAGCTTTCTTTTGAATATTAATTTGTCCAAAATTCATCAAGATATAAGTTATGAAAGTTAAGGGATTAATTTTTTAAAAATGTCAATCTGCTAGATTTCTATTGATGGCAGCCCAAATGATTATTACAGTATATATAAGTGCTGCTAAGGGAAAATCTGTCATCAGACTTTCAATTGTATTTTGTGTACAGTTAGCCAAATCTATTATAATAGATTTTCCATAGATAGCTAACTATACACAAAATATAATTGAAAGTCTGGTAACAGGTTTACCCTTGGTGGCATTCATATTTTATTAGTATGTATCTATTTTTGCACTAGATTAGGTAGCTATTTTCATGTTCTTTACTTTTTTGGGCCGATTGACCTGCAGATATATATATAGCAATGATGATAATGATAAGGTTTGCTATTTAAAAAAGTGAAAAAAAAAGGGCATGTCTGGTAAAGAAGTATTCACTGAAGAAACACACATATGTACATATGTAAAAAAAAATTCTAGGTAAGAAGTAAACAGATTATTGTTATGAAAAGTTCTTTGCTGCAATTTTTTTTATAACTAGACAAAGTATTTATAGAAAAATTTTATACTTGTAGGTGCAAAAGTTGGAACCAAAAGGTACAGTACACAATTGAGGAGAATTCATTAAGAAGAGTTTCATATTTTTGAGATTAATATTTAATAATTGGGCTCTTCTTTTAGACTATGTGGTTTGAAAGTATTAAAAAATAGTTTGTTCAAACCATATTATAGAGAATGGACTATGGTATGCTGGCATCAAGAAATTAAATATTGCCTATTCTAAATTAAACAACTAATTCATTATAAAAATATTACTAGAAACACAAAGCATTCATTCTGCCATGAGTGAAGATGAAAGCCCTGAGATAACTGCAAATAATGAAAATCTTGAAATAACTACTACTAATGAAAATTCTGAAGTAACTAACAGAAGTCTTGAAGCAACTAATGAAAGTTTTGAAATAATTACCGAAAGCCCTAAAGTAACTGAGGTTAATAAAAAACATAGAAGAAACAATTCAGAATTATGGGTTTTTAAGGAAGGTCATTTTAATCATGATCCTCAAAAGGGTAAAATATATGCTTTATGATGTTTTGGTTTTTAATTTGGTGAATTAGTTAATATTATTCATATAATTTGTTAGAAAATTATGCAATATGTTCATATTGTGGAAATGGGTTAAAACACGATAATACAACTGAAACTAGCTCATTAATCTGTCATTCGAAAAACACTAAATGTAAAAAACATTTGAATATTAATAAATTACAACAAACACTGCAATTATCTGCAGCAGGTCTTGCAACTTATAAGTTTTGCCAAGAAAAAAGTTGGCAAGAAATGGTAGAAATGATTGTTAGGCATTCATATCCATTTTATATGGTTGAGCATGAGGGGTTTATAAAGTTTGTTAATGGTTTACAACCAAAATATAAAGTGGTAAGTGAAAAAACAGTACATAGAGATTGTATAAAAATTGCTAAAGAGCTTAAAGAGAAAGCTTATGCAATGATAAATAATGCATCTGGACATTTAAGCTATACAACCAATATGTGGACGTCAAACCAGACTCTTGGATATATGGTCATTACCTGTCATTTTATTGATATAAACTGGAAACTTCAGAAGTTGGTCATGGCATTTAGAATGGTTTCCGCACTACATACAGGTGTTGCAATTAGTGAAACGCTCTTTAAATGTTTTAATGATTGGGGCGTTGTATCAAAGATATTAGCAATCACTATGGACAATGCAACCAGTAATGATGCTGCGATTACTAACTTAAAGCACAGACTCGAAGATGAAAACATGCTTGTTGCTAATGGAAATTTATTGCACCAATGCTGCTATGCACATATATTAAATCTCATTGTAAATGATGTTCTTAAAATAGTTAAAAATATTGTAAGCAAAATTCGAGAATGTGCTAAGTGGGTTCATAGTTCACAATCTAGGCTGCAAAACTTTGAGGATGCATTAATTGGGTGCTATGCTGAGCTTATATCAAGTCAATGACCTGCACTTGATGTGCCTACAAGATGGAATTTTGTTTATTTAATGTTAAAATCTACAATTTCATATAAATGTGTGTTTGAGCGTCTTGCATTATGAGACATTAATTTTAATCATATTATGCCTTCTGATGATAATTGGAATAGAGCTAAGTGTATTTGTAATTTTCTAAAACTTTTTAATAAAGGTGATAATAAATTTATAATATATTTTAATAAAAATATATATTAATTTGTTATTTATTTTTTAACAGTTACAAATATTATATCAGAAAGCACATACCCGACAGCGAATATTTTTCTTCACTATTTGGTAAAAATTAAATTACATCTTGAACAAAATGCTATTAATATAGAGTCTTTTATTTGTCAGATGATTATACCAATACAAACCAAATTTGATAAGTACTGGGCAGATATGGGAGATACAATCTGCATTACATCAATGATGGACCCTCGCTATAAGAATTTTTTTTTTTTGGTATTAACGTGACCTCTTTGGTCTTTTGACTTTTATTAATCACTTGTCGGTATTGTGGTTCAATGAACCACTACAGGAGAGCGTA